TCCCACTTAGCAACCAGGAGCTACTGAGAATTAAAACTGGAACACGATGAAGACAGGGCTTTGCAGTGGATCGGCTGAATAGGAAACTGGAGGCAAGGAGACCAGTGAGGCATCCATTGTGTGTCTGAATGAGAGCTGATAACGCTGAAGCCAATAGAGAAGGATAAAAAGCAGCACTTGCTGACTAATGGAAAGGTAGAATGATTTGGTCATTCATATATCTTTTCTTCAAAAGAAGAGAGCATTTATTTTGCAATCCTACATATCTTAGAAGAAAAATTTTTACTTATTTCTCTTTTCTGAATGTTGTCAACTTAGAAGTACAGAATTAAGGGCAAGAGACTGAGAATCTGAACGTGAAGTGCTGACACCCATCTGAAAATTTTCTTATTAGATCCAAATTTCTCTGTTGAAAGGGAAGTAATAACTAGTGGGTTGGGTGGGGTTCTGATCATCACTAGCTTTTTTGTCAAGTCAAGACCAACGAGAAACATTACTTAGTTCACACATACAAACATGCACATACATGTTCTAAAACAAGAGGGATGAAATTTTAAAGACCTCAGATATTACTCCAATAACAGCTTCTTTTTGATAATCTTATGGAGCTTTGATATCGTAATAACTAGCAGAGTGAAAGATTATAGAAGAATACTAAGGTGATAAGGAAACTTAGTGATTACCCAGACCAACTCCCTTTGTTTTATAGGAGAAACTGAGACAAGGGAAGTTGTTTTCCCGTTTAGTCAGAAAACACAGCTGGTGCTAAAATCCAAGTTTCCTCCCTTAGGAATAATGTTCTTTTTTACACAGTCCTTTTCCTCAGCCTCAGTGATTCCATCTTTCTGGGAAATGCCTAGAAGCTGAGAGTGTAGTCATGTCATCTCCGGCTCTGTATATCTCTTCTGTTTGTATCACTGAGAAGGAAATACATAGAAAATGCTCTCCAGGATAAGAGAGATCTCCCAGTCCAAGACAATGAAGTGATTCAGTCAGCCAGAATGAGACTGATATGCTCAGATTGTAGAACAGAGCCCAACCTGCCCTTGTCCATATTATCTACTATTGGATGCACTTCAAGAGGCACAAATTCTGGCTCTAAGATGTTGAAGAAAAGCAATCACTGCTATCATCTTACAGACAATGGCTGGGTAGCGGGCATGGAGAAATGGTTTCAGGTAGGAGCAGAGATGGATTTACCATCATCCCACAGAAACTTAAGCTTCACTAATTTGAGCCCTTCCAGGTCCTGGGAGATGCCCTAGCAATTTCATATTCATGATTTTTGTACTGTTTTCCTAAAGAAGACCCCTGAAATTATAGTTTAGATTCTACAAAACCCCTAAGGATAGGATGTGCTAGATAGTCTAGCGCCCTCTAGAAATGCTTCAAAAGTGTTAGTGACCTGCTTCATTAGCTATTACAAGTTCAGATGACCTCTCTTTGGTCATCCTTTCCAAATTATATCAATAAAACTATTAGAAATGGAATAGATAATATTCAAAATCTTTACAATCTAAGTAATAGAACTCCTTTTCATACCAATATTTAGGATTTCTTTCTTCTTGGTTCATTATAGAATTTAGCTAAACAGTTTCTATTAAAATTATGTTTCTGAAAAACGAGTGTAACTTAAGCAGTTACAAGTGAGATATTAAATAGAACTATTTTGTATATTTGTTACATGTTCACATCTGGGAAATATGCTACAGAAGTCAAAATCATGAAAATCTTGATTTTAATTTAGACAGGGATTTATCATTATTTGTGAGATATGTCCAGTATGGTTTCACTTTAAAACCACAAATAAAGTTTTATCAATGGGCATTTTTCTTGTTGAGAGGTCTGTGGTCAGACTAAACATCTCTCTCAACCTGATTAGGTCCTGAGGTTTTCAAATTCGATATTCGGAAAATATAGAGCATTTGTTTGGTCATAAGAAATAATTAAGAATGTCAGAGGTAATGAAACTCTTCTGATCCTGCCCCTCCTTTCTGATGACATGATAATCGAATATAACCTCTTCTGGTCTAGGGCCTTGCCATATATGAGATTGAGGCAGAATAGATCACACAAAATTAATCTAGGTGACATTGCTTTAGAGTTTTTACATCAGCAATCTTTTGTTTACTAATACTCAAGTGATGGAGGTTTTATATGTTATTAAATGCTTTATTTCTTCTTCCTCACTCCCAACTATCCTGAATCCAGAAAAATAGATCCATGGTCATTCTGCGAAGACAAAAAAACATTGAATAGTTAATTGTACAACACCCAGAATTGTCCATTGTGTATTCATTCTTGTAATGGATCACTGGAGGGTTAATTAGCATATTTAGTTTGAAATCTTATAAAATAGAAATGGGATTGTTTCAGCATTTGCGCAGTTTGCATAGTAACCATCACTTCATGAAAGATCTGACTCAGAATAACACAAGGCTCTGAATAATGAGGGAAATGTTCTATAAACAATCCACATGGGCTAGGTAACTCCACTGATGGGATATATTTGATAATTTCTAAAATCCACTTTTTCTATATAAACTGTAATCCTGGGCACTGCATTTGCTTTCTTAAAATTGAACTCTCTTCCAAAGGTAGGCCTAAAATAAAATGTGCAGAAGTCATTGAATTATTTCTGTAGTATTTTCATATTGGAAGAGACTTCCAGAGGTCACCTAGTTCATCCCCATCTCCAGCCAGGATTCTCCCTAGTACTGAATATAGCAATATAGTGATCTGCATTAAGAAAGCTTTTAAAGATCCCCAGAGTTGGTCAAAAAATAGCTAATATTGGCCTGATTCGTAGCACGGCATTAGAAATATGTCAAAATAGCCACCTTAATCAAGGAAGACATCCATCAGGGCTAAGTGCTCGTGGTAGCTTCAAAAGTAAAAGTTTTATTTTCTCAAAGAGAAGGGTGGTAGATTTAGGAAATGACCAAGTGAGTTGATATATATATTTAGGTGTACATTTGAATGTTTATCTAAAAGGAAACATTGTCTTGTCTAAACCACTGCAGGGGAAACCTAGAGGTGGCTGTAAGCAATCAGGTCATAACTCCTTTAACAAGTCCTTTCAAATAGCTACAGAGCTCAGAGGGGGAGCTGTTATTTCAAACAAGATCTAATTAGCATCAAGTTAGTGAAGGGCAGATGGAGAAACATAAGAATAATATTGACAGACCTGCTTGTTAAGTGATATCTTTTCTCCCTAATCAGCTGAGTTTGTTAGAATTGATAATTTTATTTCTTCAACTCCATTAAACTGCGAATGCGAAGGACAGGAATTTCATTATAATTTCAATGTTCCGAGACAATTAATCACATTATTGTTTTATAAGGAACATAATCCTCCACAATTATTAGACTTCTCAATTATTGGGTTTGAGGCAGTACTCTAGAATCTAGAAATCTCAGCTAAAAGAAGAGCTAAGGTTTTTATCTGCATTATTTGGGGCTTTAAGCCTTTCAATTGAACTATAGTAAGGAAAATGACCTGCCCTTACAACTGTCCCTAGTGTCCACTTGATTTTGTGTGTTAACATTGCATTTTTTCAAATATTTCTGTAAGGTTACATAAAAGCTTGGCCAACCATGGGTGCTTTCAGGGTTGGGATCTAGGGGGCTGGATGGAAATAAGTTTAGAGGTTTTTTTATCACATACCCTCATGCCAACTTTCAAACTGTATGCTTGTATTTCTTCCTACAAAGTTACTTAAAATTATTTTATTTCAAAAACAGAAAGGCATCTCTATGCTATCTCTTGTAAGGTCAGATGCTCTGTCTGGATTACAGGAATTGGAAATCTCCGACAACTGGCCTCTCCCAGTCTCCTTTGTAATACTTGACTTTGGAAATGGGAATTCGGCCATTGGGAACCTTTGATGTGCAGCTGCCTTTTTCAGAGAACATTAACCAAGAGTCTTCAGGTCACCCCTTCCTCTTCTTTTTGTGGGACCAGGAAACAAAAGAACAAGGAAACCTCCCGGCAGTGTCATCCTGTCTTGATGACATTCCCACTCTGGGTACCTAACCTTTGAGTTAATGTGCAGTCTACATAGTCGCCATAAAGCTACGGCATTTTACGGTAAGGAAGGATTCCTAGGTTACTTGGATATTTAGCAGAGTAAGTTTCTCCCTTAAAAACTGCTCAGATAATTGTTCCTAACTTGCTGTTCGTGTACACAACCTGTAAGAAGTGTTATTTTTTGAAGTTATCACTCCAAACAAATTCCCACAGCAGAATCAAGAAGTTCCAAACAGAAGAAACTGAGTCAACTTGAAAGATAATCAAAATGAAAGTAGGGAAAAGCAGAACATAGATTCTGTAATTTTATTATTAAAAAGTTCAAAGTTTTTTTACATGCTATGACATTAAATGTCATATATGTTCATTGCAAGCAAACCTTTTTAAAAATAAATATACATACTGTATATATTTACATTCAAGTTTGAGTAACTGGTGTCAAGGTGTAGTTCAGGTTCTAATCTTTACCCACCTTGTATATTTGTTCAGCTACTAATTAAACAGCGATTGTATCTTCACTCAGGCACATGGAGAGGTAGAAACTGCTTCTTAAAGAAAAACAAAACTGGAGTGCAAATGTGAAGATTATCATTGAAGCAGCTTAGCTACATTAAGGAGGCCCTAACAAGCTTTGGTCATCTCAAGAAGCTAAATACATGTAGCCTTATCCTTTAAATTAAAACCAGAAACACTTTGGGTAAATGCTAATTTGAGCACAACAGAGAGTTGGGCAGACCTCAGCAACTAATGCACTGCCACTCTGCACCCAAGAATTATATATGACTAAGGCAACATAGCAGCAGGGCTGAGCTGGCAGCCGGGCTCCTAATCCCTGATAAGACACAAATAATAAACACATGAGTGGCTTAAGAGTCCTCAAATTAATATCCGTACACTGACAGCTTGGAACTCAGAAGCCCACTAAGATACTTCCTTTCCCACGTGAAACCTCTGTTAATTTCTGCCCATGACCACCTCCATCCCAAACTGGGCTAGTAAGTCTAGATAGGGGTGGGGTGGCCCACGGCTTCTTCAGGCCAAGGTTCTTCAACCTCAGGACTAAATCTCATGAGGGTTCTTGGGCCTGAGAAGGGCTCCCTGGATTCTTGCCAGACTTGGTGGGGCTCATTCCTGATGGAGTAAGTTGGAGGGAAGCCACAGGTGTGGAGGGCAGAAGCCCTTCTCGTTCCCTTTTCTTCTGTTTCATCCTGCGATTCTGGAACCAGATTTTGACTTGGGTGTCATTCAGCTGCAGGGAGTTGGCTATCTCGATGCGTCGGGCTCGAGTTAAGTACTTATTGAAATGAAACTCTTTCTCGAGTTCTGTCAGTTGCTTAGTGCTGAAATTCGTGCGGATTGCGCTGGAGGGGCTAGCGGCTCCATACTCGGCGAGTTTGCCTGCAACGTAAAAACAGGGCATCAACAGGGCGAGAGGACAAGGAGACCGAATGAATACCGGCGAGCGGCCGGGCTGCAGTTACCATCAAAGTCACAGCGCAGCCCTCCTGGGTCCCTATGAACACAGTTGTGCCAAGAGAAACGCTCCACGGGGAGCGCCTCCTTGGAATTTTCTCCATGCCTGGCACATTCTCCAAGCGGGTATTCGGGACTCCGAGCGTGTATTCGGGACACGCTCATTGGAATTCGCCTGCTTTAGTAACGCCTTGGACGCGTTTCCTCCACAGAACCCAAACCGCCATCTAGAAGAACAGCGGCAAAATGCTGCCAGCACAATGCCACGGAGGAGGCTCCGACCCCAACCCCAGGAGCGTCCGTCCATGGCTCAAATACTTACTTTTCTTCGGGGCGTTCCTCTTCACTTTCATCCACTCGAACGTACTGAAAGCAGCTGGGAGGCCGGAGGCCGGTGAGGAGGACTTGGGGTAGGCGCCAGGGGCCGGGGACGCAGTCTGGAAGGCCCCGGGGGGGCCGTCGGCGGGCTCTTTGAGACACGACGGGAAGGGCCCGGGCTCGCTGAAGGCCCCGTAATCCACCTGGCCGCTGAGGAGCAAGGAGCTGCCGCCCGAAAAGACGGCCGAGGTGGCGTAGTGGACGTGTGCCCCGCCGTCATCGGCCGGCCGCCCGATCGCGCACGAGAAGTCGTATGCCGGCCCGGGCCCCGGCCCCAGGAAGCCGTAGTCTGCGCCCCCCGCCGCGGCAGGTGCAGCGCCTGGCTCGTAGGCACCCTCTAGGGTGTACGGCGCAAATGGGGGCGCGGCCGGAGGCTGCGCGGGGGTGGCCGGAGGCGAAGGCGCGGGTCGGGCGGCGGCCAGGGGCAGGCAGCTGATGAAGGCGCCTTCGCCGCTGCCCAGGGGGAAGGCAGGCTGCAGGGCCACTGGCCGCGCATCTGTGCGGCGGAACTTGGACGCGAAGCTGAGCAGGTCGCCGCCGCCCCCGCACGACATGTACTCCAGGTAGGAGCTCATGGTTCCGGCCCACCCACCTGCGCGCGGAGGCCTGGGCTGGGCTGCAGGGGTAGCAGGACCGCCACGCTCTGCGCCGCTCGGCCTTTCCCCTCTACCCGAGCTGCCCTCGCCGAGCCATGGCGAGCGAGCGCAAAGTAAA